ACACCTAACACCAGTATAAACTGTAAATGGGTCCAATATGTAAATGTAAAAATGAAGCTATAGGAGAATTAGAAGAAAGCATTGCAGACTTCCTTTATAACCAAGGAGTGGCGAAGGCTTTTCTAAATATGACTACAAATATACAAACCATAGATGACTCTATCAGCACACTTAGAACCATGTGGCAAAAACGCTGTAAACAAGTCAATAGGCAAACAATAAAAAGAGGGCCATTTGTATCCCAGAAAAAAAAAAAAAGTTAAGAGAGAGAAAGCTCCTAAAACTTTATAAAAAGAAGAAAACCAATAACCCAAAAGAAAAATGGTGAAGGGATATGAACAGAATAGGAAATACAAATGGCTTTTAACTAGATGAAGATAACCAAAGCTCACTCATCGTAAGAGAAAAGTACTACAGCACAGTGTTCTATAATAGTGATGATACTGGTCTTTCTTGTCTCATTCCTGATTTTGGAGGGAATGCTTCTAGTGATACCATCTTTCACTTACAGATTGGCAAATATCCTCATAGTTGTCTACACACTGTTGGGAAGGCTGTAGAGAAACAGGCACTCTTATGTATTTCTGATGGGAGTAGAAATTGGTATAACCTGATTGAAGGGTAATTTGATAATATTCAAATTGTCCCAGAATTTCTAGTATTTCTGCATACCACTAAATAATACATTTTTTTAACCTTATAAGGATGCAGCCTCTTTTGGAATTCCTCTGATTTCAAAGTCTTCCTCTCAAGTTCTTGAAAACGAGAGCAGTTCCTGAAAGGCAGGTATAGCAACTGAGGAAAAAGAGAAATCGTAAATTTTGTATTAGTCAAAAGAACTACAGAAGCTGCAGCCATTAGGTATAAAGTGACCTGAGTAAAAGATTCAAATGTGCTTTGAGCTGAATGGAATTCTAAATTTGAGGGAAAAGAGATAAATGATCTGCAGGTCTTAAATAGTAGGATACCCAGAACTCAAAATCTTTCTTTTTCATTTCATGAACTTGCCTAAATAGAACTGTGCTATTGGTAAATATTCACACTTCCCGGTTTTCCCTGTGAAATGATAACAATTATCTTGCTTCCTTCCAGACCTCTTTCATTTCTAGCACTAGATGTACATCTATGTGCATGCGTGCACACACATACACACACATAAACACAAACACAAGTATAGAGAAGTGAATTAGAGGTTCCAGAAAGAATCTTAAGAGATCGATTCACTGAAATACATTCTTGCAAATTTGCAGACTGTTAAAATAAGGGAACATAATAAACACATAGAAAAATATATTTGAAAACCTATAATGAGGACAAAATAATCATCCAAAAATGAGTTTAAATTTGACAATCGTTTGTAGTTTTAATTATAATCTATAGGCTGGTGACTCCCAAGTTCATTTTGTTGCTCTTACTTTCCATCTGAGCTAGTCCTGTATTTTCAGCCTTTGGTGGATATCACCAATTGGTTGTTCTCTTCATCCTCAAATTTGACATGTACAAACCTGAACTCCCCTTCTTCATTTTTAACCATTTCCTTTCTGTAATCTCTCTACTTTTGCCAATGATGAAATTTATCATCCTGCTTCATAGACTAATCACTTTTGCCTGTCTACTTTCAAAACACAGTTGACCTTGAACAATGCAGAGGTTACGGCGGTTAACCCACACACAGTTGAAAATCTGAGTGTAGCTTCACAGTCTGTATCCACTGTTCCGCATCTGGGGGAGTCGACCAACTGGGGATCATGTAGTACTGTAGTATGAATTTATTGGAAAAAATTCGCATATAAGTGGACCCGTGACTCGTTGATCAAGAGACAACTGTATATCCAAAATAGACCCCTTTTCTTTACTTTCATTGTCCCCTTCCAGTCCAGACCACCATAATCTGTCTTTCAACTACTGTAAGAGCTTCCTATGTGATCAGTTTGCATCACAATTCATCCTCCACACAGCAACTACACTAATCCTTATTTTATTTTTGGAAATGCTAATATCAATATTTTAAAACCATCAATCAGATCATGTCATTCTGTAGTTTACAACTTTCACTGGCTTTCCATTTTACTAGGAATAAAATCCAAACTCATGCCCTAGTGACCTTTTTGTCCTGCTTTCCTACTGCTGCCCCCTCACTCACTCCTCTCCAGCAACACTGGGGGCCTTCTTGCTGTCCCCTGAACACACAGGCTGGGGTTTTTGTGTTCCCTGCCTGAGACACTGCCCCCACTCCAGCTCTTCTAGACATCCTGCCCAGCCACTATCACATTACCTTGTTTTATTGCCTTCAAGGAACTCACTGCCATTTGAAATTATTGTATTTATTTTCTTCTTTATCATCCTATCATTCCTATAAAATATAAACTCCAGGATATCCAGAGTCTCGTCTATCTTGTCCACTGCTGTGTTGTCAAAGCCTAGAACAAGGCCTGGCATATTAGTACCTACTCAAAAACCATTTTATTTTTGTAAATTGCTTCCTTGTCACCTTCTTCTGTGTCGCCTTGTCTTACCTCACCTTCCTTCCCCTGATGTCTTTACCATCTAATTTCAGTCCTTCACTTCCTCACTTCTGCATGACTTCAACAGTTGTTTTCAGAGAACTTAGTATCTTCCCTCCAAGCCACTGTCAGACAAATGCCCCAAAGCACTGCTCATTGTGTGTGCGCACAGTACTGAGGGAGGTACACAGTTTTTCTACATCCCCTGCTTTACATCTAAATTTCCCTCCCTGGCTTTCACAATTTTCCATAGGAGAAATGACACTGTTGAGGGAAAAAGCACAGGACTGTTAATTTAAAGGTCTAGGTTTTAATGAATTACTTAACTTTTCTAGACTTTCGTTTTCTCATCTCACATATTGAAAGAATCAGGCTGAAAATGGAATAATCACCTAAATGTCTGTTCAGAATTTTGCAGGTTACAAAATCATTTCCTTTTCTTAAATGAGGTGTTTTTCACAAATCCCTGTGAAGAAATTAGGTGGGTACTGTTGTTCCCATTTTACAGGAAAGGAAACTGAGATGCAGGGAAGTTACTCAAGGTCAAGTATCTGAAGTGGTAGGTGGCTCTCAGACTCAGGTTTTCCCAGCTCTAAATTCAGCCCTCAATCTACATCACACTGCCTTTGTCTCAAGATTCCTTCTGGCTATTAAATTTGGATTCTCTAATCTGTGCCTGACACACTTATTCAGTCTTATTTTCATTCTTTCTAAATATGAACTCTGGACACAGAAGGACAAGCACTCTACCTTGACTCAAAGCTAAGCTTTTGGGCTGCGTTGCTCTCCTTTCCTACCCTCCTCAAAGATCTGGTTCAAGTTCTCACTCTGTCCATGAAGACTTGAATGACTGCCCTTTGGTAGCTCTGAGTATGTCTTATTCTCTGAATTCCTCCAGCATGTGCAGCTTGTTCTTGAAATCATTGCCCTCCACTTGCATTGTATTCTACACACTTCACAAGTGTGAATCTACTTTCATCAAATGGATTATAAATTAGGGAAGAAAACTGGCCTCATATTTCTCTTCTATTTCTGTATAGCAGTTAGCAAAGTTCTAGGAATAACTCTGGTTGATTGATTTTGTTAAATTTTCTAGTTGATGTTAGAGAGAATTGTTTTCATCTTAGTAGGTAGCAGGAAGCCACAGGTAGACAATCTTGCTTGTTTCTTTCTCCCTCTTCCTCACTCTCCTTTTCTTCCTCTTCTAATAGTACCTGCATTCTCTTTACTATGTAATTTAATCGTTATCTTTCAAGATTAAAGGTTAAACTGCTACCCTGGTCTATATTGGTTAAATTTGGCGCTTCCTTCCAGTCTTTGTAGAAAAGGCTGTGGTAAAAGTGAAATTTTTTCTTTTTGGAAGAAAATATTCACAAACTCCTAAGAACACTGATAATCATAATGACTCCCTTCTGATTCTGTGATGGAAAGAGGCATAAATAAATCATCCTATCTTTTCAGGAAACAGCAGAAAATTTGACTGGAGTAGATTTACCTAGAGTGAGGTTGACCGGGTTAAGCTCTTTCTACAAAGCACTTGGGAAAAATTCTTAAGTCACCAGTTTCGGCAATTAAGTCAGATTTCTTGGTAACCCACCCCAGAGCTCTCTGAGCAACATTCTAGGTCTGGTAGTCATGCTAAGCCTCAGTCATAAAGAGAGGAGATGATCATCTTATAATGTGACTGCAGGGGAATTAGGAAGGGTTCCTTGTCCCAAACTATTTCCTTTACACAGTCCTAAATTCCACATCGGGAAGATTAGTTAGATTTATTTATTACTATTTTAAAAAATAGCAATTCCTCTGAAAAGATAAAAGAGTTCTTGGTCAGTCCCACCTAGTGTAAATAAATTTGAGAGTTTCTCTCAAACAACCTCATTTAGACAACTTGGTTTATGGTACTTGTTCTCAGACTTGGCTGTGCACTAGAATCATCTAGGGAGATTTTTTAAAGTATTGATGCCTGGGTCACACCTTCAGAGATTCTGATTTATTATGGCATGTGCCCGGGGCATCAGGATTTTTTAAAATTTCCAGGTGATTCTAACAGGCAGCTAACTTTGAGAACCACTAGTTTACACTAGTGGAAACTGCTCTGGAATGAGATCAGCCTGGCTCTAGTCTCAGTAGTGATGTTTATCAACTGTGTGACTTTGGATCTATTTTGTTTGACTTCTCTGAGCACTTTTTTCCCTGGCTGGAAAAGAAGGACAATAATATTGTCCATTCAACATTGCTATGAAAGGTAAATATGATGACACATATAACATGTTGGGCACTAATTATGTAATCAGATCTTTCTTTTTTACCCTGCCTAGGAATGGGGATTGCCAAAAGTTGAAAGACTAGCAAAACAAAGTGGATAATAAAGCTCTAAAGAGAAATTCTGTTCCTACTCCCTTCTGTTAGGACTTTCTATGTCCTTTGCACCTTTATTTAGGAAAGAATTAAGACTGCACAGCCCATGAAGTGTCCAGACTCCCAACTCCACAAGTCCTGATCAGCCTGCCTTCCTTCTTCCAGAACCAATGAAATCCCAATTTTCCATAATACTGACCCAATCTTCAGAAACAGGGACTGTGTGCACCGGGATGGGCTGCCAGGGTAGGCTGGGATTCCAGAAGGTAGGCTGATACCTTCTGGGGGAAAGAGGGCTGCAAGGTTTGTCATAGCACTCATCAAAGCCCGGTCAATATCCGTGCTTCGAACATAAACCTAGAGTGGGAAAATCAAAGCAGAATCCAATAGAGAGGAACTGTGGGTTTTTTTTTTTTCCTATGGAGCTAATAGTGTATTTGAGAAAGGGCAGAACACCTACACCAAATTATTAGCAGACATTGTGGTAGCATCATGATCATAATTCCTATTATGGAAGAGACAATATTATGAGCATGCCATGGCATAAAGCAACCTGGTATGCCAACAGCTGAATTGACAAGGGACAAATCAAGTGGTGGCTACTTGCCAAGCCTAAGTATTTACTGTAGGTGTCCATGTTGAACTTACTTATATTCATACATTTTTTTTAAGGAGTACATTTGTAAACAAGACATCTGACTTTTATAAGTTCCTTGAGAAACAGGGAACTTTTACAAATACATTATGCTAAACTATTTCAAGGGGCAAGGTTCCCACTATTAGCTTCCCAACTTACCTGTTCGTGTTTATAGGACTTGTTCAAGAATTTTTCATATCGTTTCCTTATATATTGTCCAAGTTCATAATTCTGCTCCATGCCCAGCTATGGGAACAAATAAAGGCAAAAATTAGTGAAAGTAAGTTCTGTGAAGCTATGTGTCTCATCTCTCCTCATTGATTATGTATAGTGAACAATAGTGTACTTTAATAATTCCACAATAACAACACATTTTTAAATGAAAACAGGAAAAGAGAGCTGTAATCTTTCATCATGACTCCCTGAGAAAACTCAATTCATTGTCATTAGCACTTAACATAGAGCCTTGTACAGTTAATAACTGGTGATTGACCTGATTTAAGTAAATGGTTCATCTCTGGTGTGGCAGAGCATGCAATGGTTCATTTTTGTGGCAGAGAATTTCAAGGGCTTGTTACCATGTGGAAGAAATTCAACCATCTGATAAGAGGTTGGACTTGATGAATCTAAAGATCACTTTCAACCTCTGGGTGCAATGATTTATTATCTGCACAGTTCATTTACTTCTGGTTCATGAAAAACTAGAGCCTGTTACTTAAAGTGTAGTCTGTGGATCAGCAGTATTAGCATCACTTGGGAGTATGTTAGAAACCAAATTCTTGGGCCCCACCCTTGACCTACTAAATCAGAATCGTTGGGGGTGGAGCTCAGGAATGTTTTTAACAAGCTCATTGAGATTCTGATGCCAATTAATCATTGAGAAACATTACCTTAGCTCATTGATCCTCAAGCATTACTGTGCATCAGAAACAAAATTATCTAGGGTGCTTGATGAAATGCAGATTCCTCAGCATTTCCCCCAGAGTTTCCAGCTCATTGGATCCTGGGTGTAGCCCTGGAACCTGCATTTTAACAATTGCCCTGAGTGATTCAGATCCATGTAGTAAAGCACCATGCTTTGGGAAACATTGCATTCTAGTCTGTCTCTAATACAGAGCTTCGCCAGAGCTACAGGAGTCAGAAAAGATGTGATCACTGTGGCTTCTGTTTGGTCCCACTCCCACATTTGCTTCTCATTCCTGGCTACCCTTCTAGATGGGAAAAGAGGTAAGAAAAGAATAATGTGTGCTTTGATGTTTGTGAGTTTCCTGAATGACCTGGATAGCTGAAGAAGCAGGTACTTTGGGTGTAATTTGTTGCTCTAACTTAAAGCTAACTTTTAAGGAAGTAGTCATCTTCTATAGAGCAGTGGTTTTCAAACACTAGCATGCACAGAATCACCTGGAGAGCTCATTAAAAACAAAGATTCCCAGGAGTCAACCCCACAGTTTCTAGTTCAGTGGGTAGGGCCAGAGAATTTACATTTCTGAGATGTCTCCAGGTGATGGTGATGTTACTCATCCAGGGACCACACTTTGAGAACCATTGAACTCAGAACAACTGCTTTGTCACTACACAGATTGGAAGTACCTAGTCAAGGGCAGGAATTTGAGCTCTAGAACATTGCTACTTCAAAGTGGCCATGTATCAGCACCATGGGCATCATTTAAGGGTATGTTAGGAATGCAGAATCTCAGACCCAATGAATTAGAATCTGCATTTTGACAAGATCCTCAAATGATTCATTTGCACTTGGAAGGCTAAGCAACACTGCTTTGGGAGAAACTGGTGGCTAGTCAAGATAATACCAGAAGAAGAATACAGATCCGAGTCTGGAAGAATCTTTTGGTTTTACTGGAACTTTGCAAGGGAATAGGAGTCTCGACAGAGACATAAGCATTACGAAGCAGCCCTGAGTTTTTATAACCCTTCTCTTTTTTTCAGGGAGCCAGAAGCAATGTAGTCTATGGTGGGAAGAGCTCTGACCTGGGAGCTGAAAGATACTGGCCTCAAATAGCCTCTTTGAATTTTCTCCTCATGAGACTATTAAGTTAGGGCAGTAATTCTCAGCTTTGGCTACACATTAGAGTCAACTGATCAACCAAGGAGTTTCTAAAAATCCCAATGTCCAGGCTGCACCCTAGATCGATTAAATAAGAACCTCCCAGGCAGACAACTATTTTGTAAATCTCTCCGAGAAGTTCCAATGCTTAGCCAAGATCAAGACCCATTAAATTTGGAGGTATCCAACTCTAAACATTCTATGACATTTTCTTAATATATTTAAACAATATTTTGGTCAGGACAGAAGCAACGCACATGGCCCTGTGGCTCCAAATAGAAGGGTAATCCACTTTTACAGGGAAGGGGGCCAGGCACTGGAACATGACCACAGATGCTTTTGTTCCCAAGTTCACCTTCTTGGGTGCTCTTTAAGAAGTAGGGGTCCCTGTGTTTGACCACTGTTTTTTGGTGTTTTTTTTGCAGTACGCGGGCCTCTCACTGTTGTGGCCTCTCCCGTTGCGGAGCACAGGCTCCGGACGCGCAGGCTCAGCGCCCATGGCTCACGGGCCTAGCTGCTCCGCGGCATGTGGGATCCGCCCAGACCAGGGCACGAACCCGTGTCCCCTGCATCAGCAGGCGGACTCTCAACCACTGCGCCACCAGGGAAGCCCCCACTGTGCCACCAGGGAAGCCCTGACCACTTTTAAGGAAGGTTCAATCCCAATACATCCATCTGACCAAAAATCAATTTCGGCAACAGCACTTCCAAAGGAATCATGTTTTCCCAACTCTGCTGATTCAGGATTATTTTCTACTTTCTCAGGTGGAGCCTGAGAAACTGGCTTGTAAGCAATTCTTGGCTCTCTTCAGCATCTTTAAGCTCATGTATTCTGTTGTCCATGCACGACTCTTATGCTTTAATAAAGCCAACAGGGTAAAAAAGATCAAAACAGGCAATTCTATACAATTTTCCTACAGTTAATAGTCATTAGGGGTGACTTGATCATGATCAGAAATTGTTGAGGCTAATCATTAGTGCTTCTCTTTCCACAATCAAAACACATTTTACACTTTTTAGATCCCAGGTAACTGCAAAACACTTTCCCAGATATGAGTAAAGTAGTTATATGGTTTCAATATGTAACAATCCCACAGAGTTTCCCTTGAGACTCATCAGTAACTTGGTGGTGAAATCCAACCAACCTTAGTGAGTTGGCCAAATCCTTGTGGCCATGAGGATTCCTTAATGGGGTCGTTAGGAAAGGTTTTGATGGGACTTCGGTCTCCATGCCTAAGAACCTGAAAATAGATTGAGGTAGTAATGTTACAAACTTAACTTAGGTGTTTTGCCTCTGCTCATAATGATAGATTTTTCTTCTAAACCTCTGGTTCTCCACCTTGGCTATTCATTGGAATCACCTGGAGAGTTAAAAAAAATTCTGAGGACTGGATCCCACCCCTTGTGTTTCTAGTTTAATTAGTTTGGGATGCATCAGGGCATTAGGATTTTAAAGACCTCCCCAAGTAAATCTCAGGTTAAGAACTGCTGTTCTAAGTTCACTAACACGTTCCAAAGGCTCATCATCTTGTTATTCACATTACATGAAACACAGGAAAACTGTTAGTGAACTGTTATTGTTTCAGGTAATGTGAATAACAAGATGATGAGCCATTAGGAGTCAGGCGACCTACACATGGAGACCCGTTTACACATCAGGGCAAGAAGGAACACAAAGCTTAGCAAGATCACTTTATAGTGGACAAACTCTGATGAGAAGTATTCCTTCCTGAATTATGATTACAGTAATAATAGTGTTAACATTTTGACATATAATAATAGTGGCTTTAAAATGCTACATACAATTTGTGACCATCTTGAGCCAATGATTTATTAGTTTTTAGGAGGTTGGGGATAAAGGACTTGCCAGTGGAAGATTAAAAAATCTAATTTTCAACAATTTAAGAACATCCTAATGAATTTGTATGCATGTCATCGTGCTTTTTTTTTAACACCTGTATTAGAGTATAATTGTTTTACAATGCTGTGTTAGTTTCTGCTTTATAACATAGTGAATCAGCTATACATATACATATATCCCCATATCTCCTCACTCTTGCATCTCCCTCCCACCCTCCCTATCCCACCCCTCTCGGTGGTCACAAAGAACTGAGCTGATCTCCCTGTGCTATGTGGCTGCTTCCCACTAGCTTTTGGTTTTACATTTGGTAGTGTATATATGTCCATGCCACTCTCTCACTTGGTCCCAGCTTACCCTTCCCCCTCCCCATGTCCTCAAGTCCATTCTCTACATCTGTGTCTTTATTCCTGTCCTGCACATAGGTTCTTCAGAACCTTTTTTTCTTTAAATTCTATATATATGTGTTAATATACAGTATTTTTTTTTCTCTTTCTGACTTACTTCACTCTGTATGACACCTCACTCAGTTTTGTTTCTTTTTATGGCTAAGTAATATTCCATTGTGTATATGTGCCACATCTTCTTTATCCATTCATCTGATAATGGACACTTAGGTTGCTTCCATCTCCTGGCTATTGTAAATAGAGCTGCAATGAACATTGTGGTACATGACTCTTTTTGAATTATGGTTTTTTCAGGGTACATGCCCAGTAGTAGGATTGCCGGGTGACATGGTAGTTCTATTTCTAGTTTTTTAAGGAACCTCCATACTGTTCTCCATAGTGGCTGTATCAATTTACATTCCCACCAACAGTGAAAGAGGGTTCCCTTTTCTCCACACCCTCTCCAGCATTTATTGTTTGTAGATTTTTTGATGATGGCCATTTCAGACTGGTGTGAGGTGATACCTCATTGTAGTTTTGATTTGCATTGCTCTAATGACTAGTGATGTTGAGCATCCTTTCATGATTTTTTGGCAATTTGTACATCTTCTTTGGAGAAGTGTCTGTTTAGGTCTTCTGCCCATTTTTGGATTTGGTTGTTTGTTCTTTTGATATTGAGCTGCATGAGCTGCTTGCAAATTTTGGAAATTTATCCTTTGTGAGTTGCTTCATTTGCAAATACTTTCTCCCATTCTGAGGGTTGTCTTTTGGTCTTGTTTGTGATTTCCTTTGTCGTGCAAAAGCTTTTAAGTTTCATTAGGTCCCATTTGTTTATTTTGTTTTTCTTTCCATTTCTCTAGGAGGTGGGTCAAAAAGGATCTTGCTGTGATTTATGTCATAGAGTGTTCTGCCTATGTTTTCCTCTTAAGAGTTTTATCATATCTGGCCTTACATTTAGGTCTTTAATCAATTTGAGTTTATCCCAGGAATGCAACGATTCTTCAATATATGCAAATCAATCAACATGATAGACCATATTGACAAAATGAAGGAGAAAAACCATATGATTATATCAATAGATGCAGAGAAAGCTTTTGGCTTGTCCTCACAGTGAGCCTCAGCCACCCCCCACCTCTGCAGGAGACCCTCCAACACTAGCAGTTTCCTTTACACAAGTTGGAAAGATGAATACTCCCCAAATTACAGCTAAAACCATATGACAGCTTGCTCAAGCATCTTCAGTCTCCATTGCCTACCAATATACATCAGAAATACACCTACACGTGGAGCAACTCCTACAGAACACCTACTGAATGCTGGCAGAAAACCTCAGACCTCCCAAAAGGCAAGAAACTCCCCACACACCTGAGTAGGGCCAAAGAAAAAAGAATAAACAGAGACAAAAAATAGGGATGGGACCTACACCAGTGAGAGGGAGCTGTGAAGGAGGAAAGGCTTCCACACACTGCGAAGGCCCTTCACAGGCAGAGACTGCGGGAGGCGGAGCAGGGAGTTTCAGAGCCGTGGAGGAGAGCGCAGCAACAGGGGTGCGGAGAGCAAAGCGGAGAGATTCCCGCACAGAGGATCAGTGCCAACTGGCACTCACCAGCCCGAGAGGCTTGTCTGCTCACCAGCTGGGGCAGGCGGGGCTGGGAGCTGAGCCTCGGGCTTCCATCGGAGCGCAGGGAGAGGACTGGCAACGTGAACACAGCCTGAAGGGGTTAGTGCAGAACGGCTAGCCGGGAGGGAGTCCGGGGAAAAGTCTGGACCTGCCGAAGAGGCAAGAGACTTTTTCTTCCCTCTTTGTTTCCTGGTGCGCGAGGAGAGGGGATAAAGAGTAATGATTAAAGAAGCTCCAGAGATGGGCGCGAGCCGAGGCTAAAAGTGCGGACCCCAGAGACGGGTATGAGAGGCTAAGGCTGCTACTGCCGCCACCAAGAAGCCTGTGTGCGAGCACAGGTCACTCTCCACATCTCCCTTCCAGGGAGCCTGTGCAGCCCCCCACTGCCAGGGTCCTGGGATCCAGGGACAACTTCCCCGGGAGAACGCACGGCACGCCTCAGGCTGGTGCAACGTCCCGCAGGCCTCTGCCGCCAGAGGCTCGCCCCGCATCCGCACCCCTCCCTTCCCCAGGTCTGAGTGAGCTAGAGCCCCCGAATCAGCGGCTCCTTTAACCCCATTCTGTCTGAGTGAAGAACACACGCCCTCTGGCGACCTACACGCAGAGGCGGGGCCAAATCCAATGCTGAAGCCCGGGAGCTGTGCGAACAAAGAAGAGAAAGGGAAATCTCTCCGAGCAGCCTCAGGAGCAGCGGATTAAAGCTCCACAATCAACTTGATGTACCCTGCATCTGTGGAATACCTGAATAGACAACAAATCACCCCAAATTGAGGAGGTGGACTTTGAGAGCAAGATTTATTATTTTTCCCCTTTTTGTGAGTGTGTATGTATATGTCTCTGTGTGAGATTTTGTCGGTATAGCTTTGCTTTCACCATTTGTCCTAGGATTCTATCCTTCCATTTTTTGTTTGTTTGTTTATTTACTTAAAAAATTTTTTCTTAATAATTATATTTTTATTTTAATAACTTTATTTTATCTTACCTTCATTTATTTTATTTTATCCTCTTTCTTTCTTTCTTTCTACATTTTCTCCCTTTTATGCTGAGCCATATGGATGAAAGGCTCTTGTTGCTACAGCCAGGAGTCAGTGCTGTGCCTCCGAGGTGGGAGAGCCAACTTCAGGATACTGGTCCACAAGAGACCTCCAGGCTCCACATAATATCAAACGGCGAAAATCTCCCAGAGATCTCCATCTCAACAACAACACCCAGCTTCACTCAACGACCAACAAGCTACAGTGCTGGACAACCTATGCTAAACAACTAGCAAGACAGGAACACAACCCCACCCATTAGCAGAGAGGCTGCCTAAAATCATAAGTCCACAGACACCCCAAAACACACCACCAGACATGGACCTGCCCACCAGAAAGACAAGATCCAGCCTCATGCAAAAGAACACAGGCACTAGTCTCCTCCACCAGGAAGTCTACACAACACACTGAACAAACTTTAGCCACTAGGGACAGACACCAAAAACAACGGGAACTACGAACCTGCAACCTGCAAAAAGGAGACCCCAAACACAGTAATAAGATAAGCAAAATGGGAAGAGAGGAAAACACAGAGGAGATGAAGGAGCAAGATAAAAACCCACCAGACCTAACAAATGAAGAGGAAATAGGCAGTCTACCTGAAAAAGAATTCAGAATAATGATAGTAAAGATGATCCAAAATCTTGGAAATAGTATACAGAAAATGCAAGAAACATTTAACAAGGACCTAGAAGAACTAAAGGTGAAACAAGCAGTGATGAAGAGCACAATAAATGAAATTAAAAATACTGTAGATGGGATCAATAGCAGAATATATGAGGCAGAAGAACGGATAAGTGACCTGGAACATAAAATAGTGGAAATAACTACTGCAGAGCAGAATAAAGAGAAAAGAATGAAAAGAACTGAGGACAGTCTCAGAGACCTCTGGGACAACATTAAACGCACCAACATTCGAATTATAGGGGTTCCAGAAGAAGAAGAGAAAAAGAAAGGGACTGAGAAAATATTTGAAGAGATTATAGTTGAAAACTTCCCTAATATGGGAAAGGAAATAGTTAATCAAGTCCAGGAAGCACAGAGAGTCCCATACAGGATAATATGCCAAGACATATTAATCAAACTGTCAAAAATTAAATACAAAGAAAACATATTAAAAGATATTAAGACATATTAAAAGAGCAAGGGAAAAACAACAAATAACACACAAGGGAATCCCCATAAGGTTAACAGCTCATCTTTCAGCAGAAACTCTGCAAGCCCGAAGGCAGTGGCAGGACATATTTAAAGTGATGAAGGAGAAAAACCTACAAACAAGATTACTCTACCCAGCAAGGATCTCATTCAGATTTGATAGAGAAATTAAAATCTTTACAGACAA